AAAAAAAAAAAAAAAAAAAAAAGAAACCAAATGTACTTCCCTCTATCCCCTCAAGAATGAAACCCCCGCCCTTCACCATGACCTAGCCTTCACTGCCCTAGATGGGCTCCCACTCGGTGTGGGGACACACTACCCCAGAGGGAAGGAGCAAGATGAATAAAGGGGTGGGGGTGGGCAGGGAATCAAGGAGACGTGACCAGAGAATGATGAAGATCTGGGCTGGCCAGAGGTGTATGAAGCCAACTGGCCACCCACAGTGGGGCAGAGCCTGATGCCAGCCCAGACTGCATAAGGGACCCAAGATCCACAAGAATCTTCCAAAGGCACCGGAGCCCTTGACTGATGTGGAGACCAGGCGAGGAGCCCAAGAGACACATCAGCTGAGCTTTAGAAGGAGGATCTGGTGGGTGGGTGGTGTGGCCCAGAGAGCGCTGCAGTGGGGAGCCTGAGCTCCTCCCCAGCTCCCTGCCCAGGCTGGTCAGGGAGTGGAGGGCTCCCCAAGAAGGAGGGGAAGACACACGGAAGAACAGCAAGGTCATTCTGAGCTGCTTTCCCGGAATTCTAAACAAGTAGCAAAGTCTTCCTCCCAAAAGGCCTTTAGAGAATTCTGGATGCCCCACACATGCGTCTTTGCCCATAGTGTTCCCTCTGCCAGGAGCGCCCTCTTCCCTCCCAGGAGCCCTCTCTCCGCCTCAAACCCAGCTCAAGTGCATGAAAGTCGTCAGCCACGTGTGCTCAGCCCATGACCCTCCACTTCACTCCCAGGAGTTTCTGTTAAAGAAATAGTCACGGATGGGCGCACAGATCAGCTACAAGAGCATCTTCTGGAGCCCACTGGCAATTGGAAAAAAAAAAATCGGAACCACCTAAACTCCCACGAAAGGAGATGGGAGCGAGGGTGCATCCAGACAACGGACTTCACACAGCCGTTGAAAGGGGCCCGCGTCCTTGCAAGGACTGACCTGAGGGGCCTGGGGTCTGCCTGGAACCCGATGCCTGTTTTAGCAGAGCAGGCTGATTCCCTAACAACAGCACAGCATACCTTCGTAGATCCTTAAAGAAACAAATCCGAAGAGAATCCACCAAACCAATGACCACAGCTGCCTCTGGGGGCTGGGAAGGGCAGCTGGGCTGCTCCCTCCGTGGCCGTCTCTAAAGGAGATTTGGATTTGTGTGTGTGTGTGTGTATATTTTTTAACTGAAAAAATTGAAGAGAAAATAGATTTTGCAGAATAAATGTGTCGACATAGGAAGCTGTTCATGATAT